ATTGCTTCCAGAACTCTCTGAATGGCTGGTTTTGTGGACATGAATTCCTTCAGCCTATTTATGTCATGGAAGATTTTTCTTTCCCCTTTGAGTATAATAGACATTTTGGCTGGGTATAGTAATCTGGGTTGGCATCTGTGGTCATTTAAAACTGGGAATACTTTCGTCCAGGCTCTTCTGGTTTTCATAGTTTGCACTGAAAAGTCAGCTGTAATCTTAATGGGTTTTCCTTTATATGTGACAACTTGTTTCTCTTTTGCAGCTTTCAGTATCGTCTCTTTGTTTTGTACATTTAGTGTTTTTACTATGATGTGCCGTGGAGAGTTTCTTCTCTGGTTCCGTCTGTTTTGTGTTCTACATGCTTCTCTTGTTTGTATGGGCATGTCTTTCTTTAATTTTGGGAAATTTTTTTCCACGATTCTTTTGAAGATCTGGTCCATGCCATTATTTTGGGATTCTTCTCCTTCTTATATGCCTATGATTCACAAGTTTGTTCTTTTTATGGTGACCAAATTTCACAATTCCTCCATATTCTATTCTTGTGGTTTCTTAAATTTTTCATAATCTTTGCTTCAGTGGTCTAGTTTGTCCACTTTATCTTCCAGTCTTGATACTCTGTTTTCCATTTCATTCATCCTATTGGTGTGGCTTTCTCCTGTCGTTTCTAATTGGCTTACTGAGTGTTTCACTTCCTTCTTCATTTCAGCCTGAGTATTCTTCAATATTTCTAGCTCTTTTCTGAATTCATTCAGAAGTTTATCCTTATGTTCCTTCAGTTCTTTAATTTCTTTGTTTGTCTGTTCTTTAAATTCACAGAATTCTTGTGTGAGACTCAAGCCTTCAAGTTTAGGTCTGCTTCTTTTTGTGAACTTTATGTGTCTTTGTGGTTTACTTTTTGGGCATGAAAAGCTGGTTTTTCTAAGCTTCCAATTCTCTCTTTTGATTTTATATTGGAGTGACTGGATTTCTTTTGTCTTCAGGAGTTCCCACCGAGGCCCAATTCAGATGAGGGTCAGATGTTTTCAGGCTTTCTCCTAAGGTCTGGATCCCTCCAGGTTTTGGCCTCAGGAATTTGGGGGTTGGACTGGCCTGGGAGCAGGGCCCAGGAAAGATGCTGGCCTAGGGCAGCTGGTGGCCGAGCCACCCAGAGATGCAAAGGGAGATGGGGGTGGGAAGAGGCCCCAAGGGCTCCTGGGGACTGCTCTGAGGAGCTGGGTTGGTCTGGGTGCAAAGGATCAGGAAGTGGAAAGGTCAGTCCCGGTGTCAAGGAATGAAGCTGGCCAGTTGTGCAGCCCAGGGAAGCAGTGGGAGGTGAGGATGAGATCAGGCCCAGAGGGCTCCTGGGGACCTGAGAAGGAACTGGGTTGGTCTGGATGCAAAGGATCAGGAAGCAGTGATGATTCCCCTGGTATCTGGGGCACCAAGACAAGTAATGGGCCATGACCCAGGCTAGAAGGAGAGATGGGCAGGGGAGAGGGAGGGTGAATGATGCTGGGGGAGTCAAGGCACTGAGGGAGCAGCTGCCAGTCTTACCCAGGCAAGCTGCTGGATCCAGGAAGCTGTGGGGCTATATAAAATACTTTTAAAAATAAAAAAGTAAACCAAATATCTAAGAACCTAGATGTGTTTGCACTGTTGAAAAGCAGAGTCTGTCATAAAAGAAATACTGTGAGTGATGATTGAGGCCATCGGATCCCCTGGAACTGGAGTTACAGACAGTTGTTAGCTGCCATGTGAGTGCTGGGATTTGAACCCAGATCTTCTGCAAGAACAATCATGTTCTTAACTGTTGAGCCATCTCTCCAGCCCCTCAAACAATCTTATTCATCTATATACCCACATCCCAAATGACACCCTCCCATAGCAAACCCTCCCCACTGAAGCCCATATATTCTGTCATCCCTGTTACTGTCCACTGTGTTGTCTATGCCCACAGCTGTTCCCCAGTGCTTGCCCATCTGGTGAGTCTAGTCAGCCTATGTAGAGTTCCTTGTTTTGGAAAGATCAGATCTTCCTCATCTAGTAACAATCATTTGCTAATTTTCTTTTATATAAGATTGTTCGTTTTCCCAGTTCTATGCTGGATTACTATGATGGCTAATCCTGGGTGTCAACTTGACTGGATCTGGGATTAACTGAAATGAAAGAGATCTTCT